CAGATGCACATTCTCACCCCACAAAGCGTGGATCCGCAATCCACTCGACCTCATCTGATGGTTCCCACAACACCAGGGCCGGGGTAGCGGTCCCACGCGGTGCAATGAGCAGCGCCAGCTCTTCTCAGTACCAGCAAAACGGTGATTCTGCTTGAGCTATATATCTATGTTTATATAATATATATATATATAATATATATAATATATCTTTGGTAATCAGCATGCTATGAATTATGCAGGTTTGGTTATTGCAAGGGCAGTTCTGCAATTAATATTTTCTGCGTCTTTGCTTGATTGTTCGAATTAAATCCTTGTTGTTTTCAGTAAGTCATAAATCAGTTTGGGTTTAGGCTTTGTAGAAGTTTAGGCTGGCTAACCTTTTAAGGACACTCATTCCCCATTCTCAAAGCAAGGCAAGACAGTCGGACAGAAAGCATTCGATATGGCGAAATACGATGCATGTTCTACGATACATAACCAAAGGTGAGCCATCAGTGAACAGGTTGTACATCCGAACGTCAGTACATATTTCTAAACACATTCTAACACAAGTAAATCACTTTTCCAACCATTTTGACACCATGGTAATTTCAAGGCATCGAATTGCCCTGCTGTCATTGGGTGACTGATTCGGATCCAAGGCGATGCGTGGACCCAAGCTGTTTGTTTAAATCAGGCACTCTTCTTCTGGTGGGGACGGCTTCCGAGAACTTGTAAGCGGCGTTTGTTTGGACATGCTTCTAGAATCAATGTGTTTTCAGTAATATCAGATTGTGCAAGTTTTTACGGTGGGTTTTGCGCATGTGCTGATCTGGTGCTTTTTTATTTTGATAATGGGAACCTTTGATTTTGATAAAAAGTTGATGGGCCGGATCCTTGTCGAGTGGTTTCAGTTTGTAGACTCAAGATGGACCTAGCGTGCTGGTCAACCGGGCTGTTGGAAAAGCCGTTATTGATGAGCAATTGTTTGCACCTTTTAAGTTCGTTGTGCGTGCTAGACCAGCTGGAGCAATATTTTAGAGCGCGTCGTTCAAACGAACGGATAACAGCTGTGCGACAACGCTCTGGGCACTCGATAGCACCATTCATCCATTGACAAGCATTTGCGGGTTTACCGTGTACTTTCCCCACAAAAGTTCCGTTACTCGCATCCACGTCGATGTTACGGAATGGTAAACGTTTGACACTCAGGTCAGATGTATATGGTAACGCCGATTATCGCTGGATAGCGGCCTGCAGTTGGTGGACGTGGACCTCGTCTCTAACATCAAGAAATATGTCGTCAATGCATCTGCAGTATACATTGGACTTAGGGTTTAGGTTTTTGAGGTCATGGTTCTCCAGTTAGCAGATAAATATTAGAAAAAATATGTCTATTATATATATATATATATATATATATACTATATATATATATATATATATATATATATATCTATGTATGCATTTGCTACAAATATGTTGGGATGAACTTTCGCAGGACCAGGAGGAGCTCAGTCGCTCCGTGAGAGCGCTTAAGGCATTTAACCCCAAAACACGACGCCGGAATTTTATTAACTGGATTTCAAGCATTCCGCACCTTGTCTGAACAAGACGATATTTTCTACGTATCAGGGAAAAGCCTCTTTGTCCATGTTTCATCCATCGCATGCCGCAATCAGGCCATACCAACAACGACGTCTATCGCAAAACACGCATGCTTTGGCATGTCCCTTACAGACTTGCCTTATCTTGTGCTGGACTGGTTTTAAGCTGGATATGGTATACGTTGTACGTTATATCTTATGACTTGATGTGCTTCTGTAATACGTAACTTTGCCAAGGACATCCAGGCCACGTTGGACGAAATGTGTTACATTAAGATTCGCCCACCTTAGAATAGCATATGTGCTGCCACTAATGTGCGCCTCCGATGTACCGCATTGAAAATGATCTTCGCTATTCGGAGCGAGGGTAGGACAAATTTAGGGTCACAATACCCGATTTTTGATTGCAGTTTGACGGGAGTATGTCTAGCGGTCTCTACTTTGCTAACACATCATTTATTTCCTGAGAGAGCCTCTACAAGCGTTTCTTGACTGGTGTGATCTGACATGACACGCCCCGGATCGCGCCCACTCACCGCCTTCAGCGTCGGTTCACGATTCACCGCGCCAGGGGCTAAACAAAGCCGCTTTGCTCAATGACAGCGCAGATCGCATGGACATGCAGCACAGCCTACATTATTCAACTTTACTCCGTGCCTGTGGTTTGTGAAATGTACGCGTGGTGGTGTGGTGTCCATCCTGCGCTTAGTGGTGCATCGCGACGGTGACGCATGACATATGTTGTCCATATGCGTAGCATGCATGCATTTTGTCTCTTTATCACTCCGTTTCAGGATATGGCTGGCTTTTCCGCGGGATGGTTCTCGAAAATTTACAAGCACTTGAAACTTCCTGACATGCAAGTCCCCTTCGTTAAATGCCTTGGGTATTCTCTGTTTTGCCGCGATGCATTCGCATTTGTTGCACAGCGTCGGGTGCGCCGTTACCAACTCGCACTCACAAAAACTTGACAATTTGTGAAATAATGGCATTATAATGACGTTAAGTTTTTTCATGGGTTGCCACGCAAATTCAAAAGCTAGTACTTAGTAAGTATTAAGCAATGTAAGTAAGCAATGTAAGTACTATTTACATTGTTTCCCTTTAATAAAACACAATCCGTTGGCATCGTTTCCAGAGCCAGATGTAAATCTTGACCCATGAGCGTCTTTCCTGAAGTGTACTACTGCAGCAGTAACAATCGGAGGTATGCAAAGTGAAAAGTTGCTTAATCCATTGTACGTTCAATGGTCATCCCGATTTTAAGTCCTGTTCAACAATACATTTCCGAAATTTTGGACTTCTGTGACAACCGTTCAAGAGGCAATTTGAGCGCCTGTAAAACATATTGGTTCACTCGTTATCTTCCAGTTCGGCATCCGGTTGCTTTCCCAGTATATCCTTCTCTTCGTCTCATCCATCCTTTCGCACGTATATCAAGGAACATATCTCGCATTTGCCATGTGCACACATCCGGCATAATGCACATTCCAGCACCGCATTCGGCCACGCTACTAATTTTAAACAAACTGTAAGCACAGACTCAGTTACATCCTTAATTAAAAGTAATTCCCAGACACCGATTTCCTATTACTGCTCATTCCCATCACACCCTTCCCGCCCCCAGCTCTTCTAACCGCGCGTCCACCCCGCCCCGAAACGGTCCGCTTATGGCGAAATGGTGAATTGCCGCGAGCCGCGCGCCACGCTCATGAATCTGACATAGCACCACAGGAGGAGAGGCGGGGCGTACGCCGGGGGGGGGGGGGGGCTGCTGAAGGGATACGGACAGACTTTGACTGTTCAATTGTTCTGTTCTTCGATTTACATTTGATGTCCTGAGGTGTAGACTGCAGAAGACCGCTTGCTGCTGTCCCCTGAGCGCCGACAGGAGTGGCGAGCTGGCGAGGGCACCCGCCGAGCTGGCGAGGGCACCCGCCGAGCTGGCGAGGGCACCCGCCGAGCTGGCGAGGGCACCCGCCGAGCTGGCGAGGGCACCCGCCGAGCTGGCGAGGGCACCCGCCGAGCTGGTTCGATCCCGATCCGCCGAGCTGGTTCGATCCCGATCCACCGACCTGGTTCGATCCCGACCCCCGAGCTGGTTCGACCCCAATCCGCCAAGCTGGTTCGTCCCGATCCACCGAGCTGGTTCGATCCCGACCCACCGAGCTGGTTCGATCCCGATCCGCCGAGCTGGTTCGATCCCGACACGCGGGCTGGTTCGATCTCGACACGCTGGTTTTGTTCTCCTCTGCGGAGACAGTCTAGTGGCTCTGTCTGTGCCTGCTGAGCTGGCCTCTGGCGATTTCGTCAGCCGTTGCATGTTAACATGGTGACAGAGCCATTATGCGAACAAGGAAACATGCAAGCTTTACGCTGCATTTAACCTATCAAATATTCCAGGACTGCTCAACAATGACGTTTATCAGCCGCAGTTTAACGGGAGCTATTCGATTCCACCTTCCACTGAGCTCACTTTGCCTTCCGCTATGAGCATCAGAAATAACAGAAGCCTGTGGGGCCGGCAGAGAAGCAAAGGTGAGGAAAGCACCCGTCCGGCTAAGGTGAGGAAAACACCTGTCCGACTAAGGTGAGGAAACACCCGTCCGGCTAGGTGAGGAAAACACCCGCCCGGCAAGGTGAGGAACACCCATCCGGCTAAGGTGAGGAAATACCCGTCCGGCTAAGGTGAGGAAATACCCGTCCGGCTAAGGTGAGGAAATACCCGTCCGGCTAAGGTGGGGAAATACCCGTCCGGCTAAGGTGAGGAAAACACCCGTCCGGCTAAGGTGAGGAAATACCCGTCCGGCTAAGGTGAGGAAATACCCGTCCGGCTAAGGTGAGGAAAACACCCCGGCTAAGGTGAGGAAAACCCGTCCGGCTAAGGTGAGGAAATACCCGTCCGGCTAAGGTGAGGAAATACCCGTCCGGCTAAGGTGAGGAAATACCCGTCCCGCTAAGGTGAGGAAATACCCGTCCGGCTAAGGTGAGGGAAGCACCAGTCCGGCTAAGGTGAGGAAATAAACCGCTCGGCGAGGTGAGGAAGCATCTGTCCGGTTAAGGTGAGGAAATACCCGTCCGGCCAAGATGAGGAAAACACCCGACCGCCTAATGGTCGTAGAGGGAATTCGAAGTCTTCTGACTTCCCTGTTCAGCGCGTCGGGCGTGGGTACACAGCCCAAACTATAAATCGTGCATCTACCTACGTCATAGCTTTTTTGAACGTCACACATGGCATACTTTTGTTGTTGCGTGCATCATGCTTTTCGGCAGCTATCGTCGCTGCACACGGGGTTTGTCTTCTTCTTTCATCCACTCTCATCTCCCGTCTAGTCACCTTGGACAGACTTTCAGAAAGCCCAAGCGTTGCAATCGACGACTGGATAAGCGGTGCCCACCGCGTGGGCCGACGCGCTACGTGCAGCGAGAGCACGGTACCACGCCTGGGGCAATGGTTTGGGTGTGTCAGGGGATATCGAGAATACCGCCTGGGCACGGCGCAACCACCTCACTGTTTTCAAGAGAAGTAGACGACAGTGGTTGAAGGCGGCGAGGAGCAGCGGTTTGGAGTGACGCTGGTGGTGATGGCGACGGTGAAGCTGACTCATATGAACTGTTAGTGATTGTTTTAAAGTCAACCTGCACCGGTTATCTGTGCCTTGTGGGGTTAAAAAGCCTCGTCCAGCATTCTCAGACCTCGCGACTCGTCAGTTGTCATTTGGAAGCGTGTGGAGAAGGCGGGCGTTGCGTGTCATCATCAAATCACCGGGGTCCAACCCGAATCTCGCGTCTCACCATCTGAGCGGGGTTTCAGTCGGTCGGTGACTGCCGCAGGCGTCCCGGTAGTCAGTCCTGGGGACGTATGAGCTGGCGGGCGGCACTTCGTCCTCTTGGCCTAATTTAATTGTTTCCCCTCACCCTTTCCCTTGTCTCTGCCCTGCCACCCCCTCGTCTCGTCTCTGTCTCTGTCCCTGGCTTTTAACAACTGCCGGTTGACACAAATCCACGCTTACGCGCAGCTTGAACAAAAGTGTAGTCCAGTACACGCGGTTTCTTACGAAGATGTGCATATATTAACACACGACTTGCTGGTCGATGCAGATCGCGACAAATCACACGGGCCAACCACACACTAACCGGTCTCTGGCACGGGCCACCGCGCGCTGCTGCGTTCCGCGCGACCGCTCCAGGCACGCTGGTGTATTCCAGACTACCTGACTCTGCGCCGAAACACCGCGGGTGACCCGAGCCTGAGAGCCGTATTGGTTAGCCGCAGACGCTGGTCCGCAGTCCACACCATTCGCGCGGGCTCATCTCACTTACCATGCAGTCAGACACCACGTTCTGCCCCAGAAAGGACAGTGGGGCGGTCCTTATACCCTATCTTACCATCCCGCTCCCCCACCTCCGCGCTCTGCAGACGTGGACGCGAGACAACACGGCCTCGCGGTCACAAGACGGCTACAATCTCCGGCACGTTCTGGAACCGCGTAGGATACGTCATCGACGCTGATGTTGAGCCTGATCCTGGTCTCGAGGTCGTGCCGCGCGTGCTGGGCGTGCAGCAGCCGGCAGGCGCACAGGCCCGACATCAGGCCGAACGTCTCCGACAGTGTCGGCGGGGGTGATGCCTGGGACGGGAGACGACAGCATGTAACATGAGTGTGGCCCAGCCATCAGACAACGTTGGTGTGGTGGAGCAGGGGACTATTCCCCAGATGACGTCACTGAGCACGTCAGACAGGGGCTAGCTGAAGGAAGACTGTGGAAGGTTAAACGGCTCCGGGTAACACAGAATGCCTGACGGCCCAACGGTACCTGACTCAAGGGACGACACGGAAAGAGACGTTCCAAGGAGAGCCAGGCTTGACGACACACAAGGTACGCCCCAGCTGACTCCCGCGACGGCAGACCCACCCACTGACAAAACATGACGCTCAGTGGAGCGTCTCAACCACGGCGTCCGCGCGATCTCCGGTAGGGGAATCGATCAGGGGCAGACATCGATCCTCTCCCAGATGTCAGCCACCACCGACGTGGACAGCACGGGAGTCTGGGAGGCCGGACTGGGGTGAAAACAGGTACCTCGTACCTCTTCTCTAGCCACGTACTACTCGCTACCAACCACTAAATGCCACGAGCGCCGGCGTCCTCATACACTACGACGCGGAGTGTGGTTTCTTAATGCCCGTAAGATCCCCGCGAAAAGGCTAATCATTTCGCACCCCCCTCTTAAATATGACAAACCAAACTTCCTGATCAGTCCTGTCATGTGGCAAGCCTAAAACATACAGGGATTCTGCATCGTAGTTAAAACAGTGCTAATGCAAAGGTCTATCAAAATATGAAAGCATCCATGGCGACATATAGCGCTGGGTGCCCACCTGCGTCCACCCCTGGTCCTGCTACGTCTTTACCACCCCTGGTCATCTGTAAAGTTTACACTCAACACGTTCCAAATCCCGGTAAGTTACACGTGAAAATGTCTAACATTTGCCGTGCTTCTACTGTAGCATGCAACTCGCCTAACCCCGCCGGACATTGCCGTCGCCGTTCCCAGCCCGGACATTGCTAGGGAGTTGAGAAGCGGCGCCCACTGGACTAAAACAATACGAGTCCTGGAGTGGGAGAAGCTGCAGAAGATGGCAGGAAGAATTTTTCACCCGCCGTCAAACTTTGAAAAACCGACGAATCTATAAAAAAACTCGGTTTAAGAGAATACTGGGGTAAAATCCTGGTTTTACGGTTTTGTGAGGTGGCGTCGATAACCCTGGTTTTTCTACGAGGAGTAAAGCTATTACTGCTAGCTCATCTATGTGTGTAACGTTCCTCACAAATGCACTCGACAACTTACGTACAGTACAACTACGTGTCATGAAGGAACGATCTCATGCAAAAGCAACTCACACTTGCTGCAGTATTCCAAATTTACTTATTCGACGACGCATTAGCTTATTTCGAGCATCTCGAATCTAGTGGTAACTGTCGCCGCTAATAAAGCGCAGCCTTTGTTTTGCATGGCATAGCTCGAGCAGCATCCGGGAACAGGCAAAGATGTGGGACGAGGATAAAAAACAGTACAAAGCCACAACTTTCCCTGCGTGTAATGAAATAATCTGCAAAGGGCACAAGAAGCGCATGACGAGGTTTGTCACACCTTCACAGCCAGTGGTTTGTCACACCTTCAAAGCGGCAGACGGCGGCCAGCTGCTCGTAGACGCGTCCGAGTCGTGCCTCCTCCAGGCCGGTGCGCTGAAACTCGGCCACCACAGCCTGGAGCAGCGAACGGGCCAGCAGCGGACACGAGCTGAAAAACAGGCCCCATCCCGTCAGCCCGTCTCCTGAAACGTACCCCTTCCGATCACTGAACACGGGGCCTAGGTCATCGGTTCTAAATGTTTCGAACCACAAAGCAGAACATGAGCCCTCACCGGCACAGGAGAAAGGGGAGGTGCGACAATACATCGATTTCGGGAGATTTTACCTTACCTGCAAACTTCGGGAATCGTCGAAACGTCCATGAACAGTGTATAGTGATCATATAATCCAAACTTACGACTCATGAAACGCGCCCCATGATCATAGGCGCCAAAATGGCGTATTCCTCACAAATCAGATGCTCTTTAGGTCTGCATTCTGGTTACTGGATCCAAAAGTAATTCGTGGAACAACACTAATGCGGCAAGGAAACCGTAATTAAGCAATCCTAACAATGCATGTGGTTTCATTCACAGCTCACAATACAAAACAGCAGGCAAATCTGGCAAGGGCCTTGCAGGGCCACCGCGCAGCCAGTGCCTAGTAACCAGGGATCCCCGAGACCGCGGTCTGGCCACCGTGCAGCCACTGCCTGGTAACCAGAGATCCCCGAGGCCGCGGTCCCGCCACCGTGCAGCCACTATCGAGTAACCTGAGACCTACGAGGTCGCAGTCCAGCCACCGCGCAGCCACTGCCTAGTAACCAGGGATCTCCGAGGCCGCGGTCTGGCCACCGCACAGCCACTGCCTGGTAGCCAGAGATCTCCAAGACCGCGGTCCAGCCACCACGCAGCACCTGCCTAATGACCAGAGATCTAAGAGGCCGCGGTCCGGGATCGGAAGTTCCGAATTCTTCCATTTACCAACTGCCGAACACGTGCTGACACGGCAAAGTTCGCATGCTTAAACAAACCGCCCCAGTCCGTGCATAGTGGTAGTAATTGGGTGGCGTTGCACCAGATGACGTCACTCGTCGCCATGGCAACGCAAAGCACTCAAGGTATCTGTCCATCAGGTGATTTCCAAACCAACACTTCAAAACTGACAAGGAGGTAGCGATGTTTTCTCAATTTTAGACGTTATGAACGCTGTATACTATCAGCGCTGGATGTTTTGATTTCGAATGGTGCAAGCCTTGATGCTGACTTCCCCATCTCGGCACATTGGATAATACTTAAACGTTCTGAACGCTGCATGCTGCTGCGATTTGGGGCGTCTTGAAAATTGGACGCTATGAACTTCGGATGTTTAATACATATCCCTAAGTTCCACTTGTCACCAGGTCAGGCCATCGTTCTATACCTGCATGGCGAAAAACACACACACACACACACACACACACACACACACACACAACCACACACACACACACACACACACACACACACACACACACATACACACACACACACACACACACACACACACACACACACACACACACCACACACAACACACACACACACACACACACACACACCACACACACACACACACACACAACACACACACCCACACACCACACACACACACACCCACACACACACACACACACACACACAACACACACACACACACACACACACACAACCAGCTCATTTGCTCAAACTCATGCTCTACCACGCCGTACGCGGATATAGCAAGTTTCGTACCCCATGCCCCAGGGAACAGAGGCAAAATACCGAGCACCGGCACCTTGAATCTGTTTCACTCCAACACGAAAACCACGCGCGCCCATGCTGGAAACAGCTTAAGCTTCCTGGTAACATGGTAACCGCCGCTCTTACCGAATTGCCATGATCTTGGGCGAGGAGAACATCTCTTGGATTGCCCCATTGACGTGTTCCATGGTGACCAAAGCGGCAGATTTCTTTGGCGACGTGAGGCGCCGCCCCTCGGCGGGCCCTGTCTCCGCTAGTTCCGTGGCCCGCCGACAGATGTCCAGCGCCCGGCGAGCGTCCCCGGACACCGCCGCCACCTTCCTGTGCCAAAGCAGGAGCACGTGAACGGAGACGACACAAAACCGCCGGTGAACGTCAAAGAAACGCCAGATCCATAGGTAAGAAAGTAGCTGCGAGGGCCCTACATAGTTTATTTAAACCTGTACATAAGAAAGAAAATATACTTCGGATCAATCACACAATCTACAAATTCCTGGTAATCGTCCACATATGACACTCGTTTCAAACGCCACAGCACATGGCAGGCAAGCGAGGTACAAGGCCAAGGGCAGCAGTTCGCAAATTCGACGTAAATATGCTTGCAACCATTACTTTCACTGACAAAATGCACAGCAGCCAGTCGCGCAGCGTCTGAACACAGCCCATGCCGACCTGGTGGTCTGGCTCTGAAGCGGTGTTACCTGCCCACCAGCTGGACGGCGTCCGGGTCAAAGGCGTCCAGCCCACTGAGCCGACTGGTGACGATCTCCTGCAGCTGCTGGAACGTGTACGGCTGGAAGGTCATCCTGGTCAGGCCCTGCCAGAAAAGGAGATGAGCTTACTCCTCAGAGGCAGAATGGCCAGGACAGGTCTTTGGTCAGCAGCTGAAATAGTGAACATCAGCCCTGATGACAGAAGGAACGGGTGCCTTTTATCACTCACGATCTCCCCATTTACAGCCCCAGTGAATTATACATATCCCATTCCTTCCACGTAAGGGTACGTAGCCCACTACAAGAAACCCGAACAGCTGCACAGGACACCCTGATACATACTGAACATCGACCTAGCAGTCCACAGCCCCGTCGGACGTCCGGACGGGCCGCGCCCCAACTGACCAGCCTGCTGGACACCCGGTTCATCATGACGCGCTCGGGCAGGTCCCTAGCAGTCCAAAGCCCCACCGGACGCCCGGACGGGCCGCGCCCCAACTGACCAGCCTGCTGGACACCCGGTTCATCATGACGCGCTCGGGCAGGTCCATGGTGTTGGCGATGGCGACCACAGTCAGCTGCGCGTGACGCCGGCTCGGCCAGTCGAACAGGTTGTACAGCACGTTCTGCTTGCGGGTCCACAGCAGGTCCAGCTGCCAACGGAGCGGGTGGGCGGGGTGACGACAGGACTGGCTGCCCACGGAACCCACTACGCTCCACACGGGGTTCGAGCAGGTCTCAAACATACGGCTGTTATCATACGATAAGTTCCGCACATGGCTGCTGACAGAACGCATGCTAGCCTGGTGGATCCCTAAAATCTGTCTCATGGTTGCTCTGTCGTGAGTCAAAGTAATCACCACGAGCAAATCCGCACGCAATCGCGAAGTCCCGACCAGACGCACGAACACACCTCCACTGCCGCCGCCGCCCGGCGAGCCTAGCCACTCCCTCCTAAGACCCCCCGCCCCTCCCGGTCAGCATGGACCCCGGAGCACCCGGCCCGCGCCGCCGGCGCTGGTGGAGCGTCTCACCTCGTCCACCATGAGCAGGATGGGTCGGCGGCGGCCGGCCGGTGCCGAGAACCGCTTGTCCAGCATCTGAGCGGCGTGCTCGGGCACGGCCTTCGTCCCGGTCAGCTCGGCGATGATCTGGCTGTAGACACGCTCGGGGCCCGTCAGCCGCATCCCGTTCACCTCGATAAACTGCCGACAGATGGCGGGCTGGTCACGGCGCGGCCCGGCCATGGACGGCCCGGTGTCTTAAGACGTCTCCGCGAATCCAGACGGCCACAGCGGACGGTGCGGCCCATGCATGTTCCCCAGGACTTTTGATGGCGTCATATTTTGGATGGCGAGCTCCATTACAGCCATCAGCATGCAGCTATAAACGTATTTCGTCCATACGAACAGCGAACAGCGGAAACAGACAACCCTTCAAGCGGCAAAACGCGCCAGCACGGTCGGCGCCACAGCCGGCGGGACAGACCTGGAAGTCAGGCAGGGCCGGCGTCGCTGGCCTCGCGCAGGCTCCTCACCACCTCTCGCATGGTGGCAGTCTTCCCCGTGCCGGGCACGCCGCTCACGTACATACACCTGCGACGGCGCCGCGCCCGTCAGTGCGCATCGGCCGGCTGCGACCAGGTGGCCGTCTGAGCCTCCTCGGCTGGCACTTGTCGGGAGACTGTGATGCAAAACGCGCGCCACAGCACCAAAAGCTGCACGATTAGGGGACCTCTGGAGACATTTTGCACAACTGTTTTGCGCACGCACGCTTGTCCACCAACCGAATGAGTTCCCTTACGACAGATGTTCCACAAGCAGTGACGAACGACAGTGAAATGAATCGCGATAAAGTGAATGAACTGAATGCAGTCCAGCTGCAGCACTCACCCGCCAGTTCTGTCGAGCAGACGCGCCTCCACGAACGTGTAGATGTCGAAGAACTCGTTCTCGCGGCAGGGTAGCGCGTCCGGCACGGCGGCCACGTGCAGCCGACTGCGCGCCTGTTGCAGCGGCGTGCCGGGCGTGCTGAGGCGGCCGGCGGCGGCTCGGACCAGCGGCGTGCCAGCGGCCTGGACGCGGACCAGCCGAGTGGTCAGTGCGCTCTCAGTGGCACGGCCCGAG